TGGATTGCTGGAAGCTCATAAGCAATTGGAGTAGTGTCAGTTTCCATGAAGGCTGGCACTGAGGGAATTTAGGACTCTGTTGACAGCAGTCACATTACTCCAGCTGAAAAGGGAGAACCTCTACTCAGACAGCTAGTTTGCATGAACTGTGTTCTGCTTTGGCCTCATGCACTCTGTGTTTGTTCCCCTGAAATATCCGTCTACTATAGAGTTCTCTAGCAGCCATGAAACACAAAAGAACTGCTTCAGAACGAGAAGGGTCAATGTAAACCCTTGCTATGGATTATTCAGATACTGACAGTGAGTCTACTTTGGGATACAGCGATGATGAAGATTCCAGTGATGAAGGTCAAAGAATATCAGAGTCAGTGCACAGATAACTGTATTTGCAAATATATTTGGGATATTTTTCATGCTCTATAATCTCAGCAAAGGGAATTTCTAACTTCTCAAAAAAATGCTTAAAAAGAGAACACTACTAAACTGCATTGCTTTGACTGTAATTATTCATTAATTAATAACAAGTTTGTGAAATATCTATTAACCTGCCAAATACTAGTTACTTCTGCAGTGGTACATGTTTATTAATGGTCACGCTGAAATCAGCTAATACACAGGTGCAGAACTGGATGACTATGAGATTTTATCTTTAAAGACAATGTGCATGTTAGACCTGGACTGTTATGTAGATTCATGTACGTTTACTTACTCTAAAGAAGCAAGCCTAATATGCTGAGCACTCAAAGGCAATATGCATTTGGTGAAAGTTTTTAATTAAGTAGATTAGACATTATGTTATAATTCTAGTCACAAAATTTTCTTTTGGTCAATGTTTTTTCAAAATATCATATATTCTTCTATTAGAAATTATCGAATATCCTGAGCTTCCAAAAAATAAAAAGGAAAGAAAGCTCAGTTTTTAAAAGTAACACCATCTCCTTCTCTCTTCTCTTTCTTCACGTGAAACCCTTGCTAACTTGGCAGATGTGTGTAAAATCAGTACCATAACAGCTATGTATAGATGGAGATAAGTTGAATAACAACATGGAGCTATTAGGACCTCTGCATTATATGAGTATGTAGTATTTTATATCTAAATCCAAATCATATTTACTTTTGCCATGGTCCTTGGGCCTACAAGAGAAATAAGCATACACAGCAAGTCCCAGTATTGTTAGCTTATATAAGTAATATTCTGTCATTAGAAATTTCTGCCAGCTCTCCTAAAATAAAGGATTAACGTATGTCAATACCAGGTCAGACAGCACTTTGTCTCTCACAGGAGCGAGCTCTCTGAGTAAACAGGGATAATATTTTCAGACATCTGCATAGATGGGCATAGTCATAGTGGCACTAAGCACCATAATAGTAAAGATACAATAACAATGTAATGGCAACATGAGTTTGTCATTGAGTGAAGTTGGCATTGAATAATTTCCTGTTGTTGTGTAACATTATTATAAAGCAACATAGCAGCGCTAGGATATAACCATGGATATGAATTCTAATAATTTGAGAATCAAAATGGTTTATTGGATTAGCTTTGCAATTGGGCACCCATAAATATATTTATGCTGTTTTTATTAACAGTTAAATGTAATTTTTATAATGACAGACATTATGACTACTCACTGCTCAGAACTTATTCTACATTAGAATGAATTTAGAATTGTTGTCAAATTAATCCCTGGTAGCACAGTGGACAAGCAGTAGACTGTTGTGGAAACAGCGTGCGTTTGGAGTGAGCCAGATCTGTGTTCAAATTCCAGGGCTGGAACTCAACAGCTATGTCTGACTTTGGGTACATTACCTAATATCTATCCCCATGTGTAAATCTGGGATAAATACTCATCTTCTGTTATATGCATTAAGATTTGTACAAATTTTTTAATATAGTTCCTGGTAGATACTTAGATGCTCAATAAATGGCAAATAGTATAATCTATTTTTTAATATGTTGTTTTCCCCCCATGTTATACATCTTTTTATTTTGATATGTATCACTTTACTAGATGCTAAGCCTGATTGTAGGCCATAACTTACAAATTTTCCTTTTTAAAATAAAATGTTTTCAATTTCTATTGACTATGTCACTCTTCTGATCTTTGATTTTTTTCCCATCTACAGTTTAAAATATCTATGTATTTTCTTTTTGTTGCAAGGAAATTGCATTAATTTTTAAAAGTATATCCAATTTAGGCCAGATGACATGGTAAACTTTTAAAATATTGGAAATTTGTGACAAAAGCAATTTTAAAAATTCACGTGCATGGAAAATATCTTCAAAATGGTGCATTATTTATTATATATTCCATTTTTAAGGACTGGGCAATTTTTAATTGTTGAGATGGAAATATGTTTTAAGGAAAGTTAAATGTAATATGATATTTTCCAAAAAGTTATGATTGGTGTTTTGGGTTTTGGTTTTTTAAGACAGCAGTTTGTAATAGTATATGCTGCCATGAGCAAACTCCTAAGATAAATGTCTTTCACACAATTTATGAAAGACCTGCTGGACATTACTGACATTTTCTGCCCGAGTGGTTCACTTTGCCAAAAATTCCCACTCAGAAAGTGATGGTGAAGTTCAAAATATGTCTACTCCTATGAAACAGATAGAAAATCCCCACTTTGTTTTTGGGTGGGAGTGTTTCATACATCATCAGACAGTGCCTCCTTAAGGATGGACATGACAATGTTGGTGATGAGAAGAATCAGAAGTAAAAAAAGGCCGAACACATCCTATTTGCTGGGCATTATTATAAACTTATCTTTGATTATCTTATTGAATACCTCACAGTGAGTGGGCATTCTTATCATTCCCATTTTTACAGATGAGGAAACTGAAGCTTTCACACAACTTGTAGCTTGTCTTATAAAACAGAGACGGTGTGAGTCCAAAGCCTGAGTTCTGCTATATGACCCAAAGGCTCAAGACTATGGTGCCTGTGCCATTCCTGTACCACACACTTACTAAGCATCTCCTATGTGCCCAGCATTCAGGATAAAATGGGGAGCAGAACGGGCCATGGGACCTGCCCTCAAATGGTTTAGTGGGAAGGGGGATAAAGTCATTAACCAAGTGACCATACAAATAAATGTATAAATTACAAGGTGTGACGGGTAGTTGGGACAGAGAGGTATTTAAGGCCATGAGAACAGGTGAACAGGGAACCTGATCTAGTTAATTCAGGGTGGCATCCCTGAGGGAGGGGCACTTAGGCAGAGAGCTAAAAGATAAGCAGGGGTGAACTAGGCAAAGAGTTGGAAAGGAACTTCCTAGTTAGGGAAAGCATGTGAAGAAGAACTCATGACAGGAGGGAGATGAGGTGTTCAGTAACTGAAAGAAGGCCAATGTGACTGGAAGGCAGAGAATATGAGGGAAGCATTGGGAGGATCTTACTAGGAGTTGAGGAGGCTGTAATAAAAATTTTAGAATCAGAAGAGAACATAGTATGGTAGGTGGATTAAAAATATACGATAATCATAGATTTTTTTAAAATGGGAATAACCACTGAGAAACAGAAATGGAAAAGGAATGCCACTAATAAAAGAATATGATAATATAAAACATCTTATAGTTGTTTTAAAATATCAGGACCCCAGTGAAAAGATTAAGAAATCTTATTTAAAGACATAAAACTAGATCTGAACAAATGGAGAGACATGCCATGTTCTTGCATGGAAAATTAATATGATCAGAAAGTCCTTCTTCTGAAATCAATGTATAACTGTAATACAACTGTACCAGAATCCCAATGTGGGTTTCTTTAGAAGTGGGCAAAAAAGTGATTTTAAAGTCTATGTGAAATGTGAATGCTTAAGAATGTCATCAAGATATTTCTGAAAAAAAAAAAATTTAGTAAGGGGAAACTTTGCTTTACCAAATACTAAATACCAATAGTTATCTATAAAGCAACTGTAATCATAATAGCATGATGTGGCAACAACAAAAGACAAAACATCCGGTGGGAAAAACATAGAGTTTAGAAGTATATGTGAGAATTTAGTGTATTTTGAAAAAACAGAAATCCACTGGGAACATCTTTTAAGGGCCTGTTAGAAACATATGATGTTTTGATCATGATTTTTAGAAAGTACTGTTAACATTATATTATTTTGTACATGTATATCTCTGTAATGTATTTCAAATTTATATTTATCGTTAACTATATTAATGTAGAAATTTTACTTTTATAGGAAAAAGAGTACGTTTTAAAGTATAACAATGTTTTCATGCCAGTGGTACTGTTAAATTTTTAGTAGCTCCAAATGAAATGTGAATGTTAATTTACCAAACCCAACTTTGGCCACTGGATAAGACAAGAGGTATCAGGGCAGATTTTTAAATGTTTAAGAGGTTATAAATATTCCTGCAGTGACAAATTAGATGCTTCTAAAGAGACAGTATATGCATATTTCAATCAGAGTGATTAAGATTTGTCAAATACTCTTGAAGAACCTTAAGTTCTGGTATAGGTGAATAACTGTCTCTTATAAGTTGCTAAAAGGTTAACCACATAAAAACAGATGCTCTAAAGTAAGGAAATAATTAAAATAGATCCATCATTCTCAAGGTTATAATGATAAGTTCATATACAAATGGATTAGAAACTCAATTTCCAGGAATATATCTTTAGGTTCTTTAAAAACTATCTATTCATATTCATTACTTTCTTTATCATTATCCATTTAATTCATTAATTCCCTGAAGAGCACAGGGCATGATGATATAAAATTTTGTTTCACTTGTATAGGTGAAACTTTAGGTTTGAGAATTATAACTACTGGATTATAACTCTAGGATTTGTGTGATTAATGACAAGAGTAAAGTGGTTCCTCAGGACAATGAAATTTGAAACATGAATAAAGCTTAAACCTGGAAGTGAATGAATGAGAACAGTATACATAAGTTAGTATGTTTCCTGAATTAATCACAATGAACACTTTTCTTTTATCTTAAAGGATATTTTAATTCAACATCTCTATTTTTTACGTAGGGAAGATGTGAGAACAGCAAATGTAATTGCTGCAGAAGCTGTAACCTGCCTTGTGATCGACAGAGAGTAAGTACCTTGCTTTCTTATGCATCTTGCACACTCATATCAGTGACAAACATAAGTTCCTGGAATTAGGCATCATTTTACAGAGCTATTAATACTTGTTTTATATTTTTTCATTTTGAACTGAGTTCTATATTTGATTCTCCTTCCCTATTATTTTTGGAAGTGGCTGGCTCTGCCATTCTAGCTTTATGATCTTCAGCAAGGTGCTTAACCACTAGCAACTTCACCTCAGTTCGCTCATTTGTAAACTAGGGATAACGCAACATCACAGGGATATTGTCAAGGTTAACGAGAACACGCAGGGAAAGCATGTGTCCAGGTGTTTCTACTCAGGAAGCACTCAACTAAAGCTAACTGTTTGTGTAAATTTTTAGAACGGTAAAAATAATAATTATTATAGCCCACATATAATTATATTATACTATTATGATATATAATTTTATTATATTACATATAATTATAGTCCATTTCCTAGTGATAATAATATATAGTAATATATAACATATAATAATAAATGTTATTAGGAAATGGACTATCTCTTGAGGATGTTTTAGTTATCTCCTCTACTCTTCCATCCCCAGACTTCTATAATAGAAGCATTTAAGGAAGATACTTTTGGAGAAAGCATTAGTTCTAGACGCAGGCATATATTTAGAGTCATTAAAAGTTTGTTCGATGATGCCTATCCCTGTTCCTTCTCTCCATTCTGGCTTGCTAGTCTCATTGCCTGAATGCTTTATAAGTTAAACTACAAATATCAGATTATTGACTCTCCAAGAGCCTAGATAAGATGCAGGTGTAGTGCTGGAAGCAGTCCTCCAGGCTTTTCCCCATTCCAGCGTGTGTGGGGATGAATTTGTCAGAAAGTGCCTGGCCCAAGGAGAAGAACTGAAACACCCATTTCAGTGGAGCCATTAGTGCTGGAATAGGCTGTGAGTGTCCACGTGGAATGAAACTGAGGGGCCGCATATGAGCTGTCCAGAATGACGGAGTCGAATGTGGAGCTCACGAGGCTCTGGGTGGAGAGGGATCCCACGCAATTTACAAATCTCATTTTTGGGGGCCTCCTGTGCTGGATCTCTAAAACCAGAGCGATGACACCGCTGCAGAATGATAGCCATATCCATGAATGTCTCTGAAATAGATATTCTTCCTCTGGTTCCCAGAAACAACAATTGCCCTTTCATTCTTTCTTTTGTTCGACTACCATTTTACCGAGGATCTACCATGTACAAGGGATGGGGTGAGGTGCCGTGGGAAGAATCAAAGATGCGGCACAGGTCCTGGTTTTACGGGTGAGCTTCTAAAAGAGAAGATGTGGCACGTACACAAATAGCCATCGTGCAAGGCAGAATGCAAGAAGGATCCAGAGAACACATTTATGGGAGTCCAGAAAAGGGAGTGACTCCTTCTGAGGAGAATCAAGAAAGTCTTCATGAAAACAATGATATTATTAGGTGGATCTAAAAGTAGGGTTATATAAATTAAAAAGGACAGGCAATATAAATAGAGTCAACAGCAGAAGCAATACACATAGGAGAACTATAAGCCATTTCAACTGGGTAGAGTGAGGCCGTGTAAAGGTAGTTGGTGGAGGTGTTGTGACAAATAAGTTCACAAACGTGTTGGAGTTGGTTCACCAAGAATATTGAATGTTGAGATACAGGTAATTCTGACAATTTTATGGAGCAAAATAGAGTCACTATAACACTGCATTTGGTAGACTAATCTGAGAATGCTGCATAAGATGAATTACAGGGAGAGGTTGGAGGCAGAATATCTGGTTAGCAGTCAATAGCCCCACTTCGTGCTCATGAGACTATTTATAGAGGGCATGTGTAAGAATGAAGAGAGAAAATCGGAGGGCTTAACACTTGACTTAATGTGAAGGGCAAGGGAGAAATTAGGGGTGTAGTCAGGATTGAGAAGATCTGGAAGGAATATAGAAGAGGAATTAGTTTGGGAGGCACAATGGTATTCCACTAAAATTCTAATGAATTTGACATACAAGTTGGACACTCAAGAACAGATACTCCGCAGGAGGTAGAAAAATGTGGGACAAGATCTCTTGTTAGAGTTAACTTAAAAATTGCTTACATAGAGTTAATAGCTGAAGCCATGAGACTGGATGGAATTGCATGAAAGAATAGAGAAGATAGAAGGACCAAATTTAGAATTTAGGAAAATTCTAACATTTAGGAGAGGAGGGAAGAAAAACCAGTGAATAAAACTGAGATGTTAATAATCAGAGCAGTATAGGAAATCTCAGGAACCAAGAGAAGATTTCAAGAGTAAAACAATATCAGCAGAGTAAATGCTAGTGAGAAGCCAAGAAACATACAGAGAAAAGGGCAAGAGGTTTAGTAACCTGGGAGAAAAGAGTTTTAACAAAGTGATGGGAATGGAACCCAGATTACAAACAGTGAGTGGGTGTTGAGGAAATGAAAGCACTGAGACTAAGGGGTTTTACCTTTCAAGAAATTTGGTTAAAAAAAGAAGAAAGAGAAAGAGAGAGGGAGCATTTTGCATTCATGGGCTCTTGGTAAGTTTCCTTTTTTTTTTTTTTTTGAGGAAGAGTAGCCCTGAGCTAACATCTGCTGCCAATCTTCTTCTTTTTGCTGAGGAAGACTGGCCCTGAGCTGGCATTCATGTCCATCTTCCTCCACTTTATAAGCGGGACACCTGCCACAGCATGGCTTAACAAGCGGTGCCATGTCCCCACCCGGCATCCGAACCAATGAACCCTGGCCGCCAAAGTGGAACATGCAAACTTAACCACTGGGCCACTGGGCCAGGCCCCGGGAAAGTTTCCTTTTGATGGGTCTATACAAGCATCGAGGAAGATGGAGCAAAAGAAATACTAAAGAGAATATTGGATGGAGATGGGGCGACAGGGGAAGAAACTGTGGGCAAACAAGGAAAGGTTACTTGAAGAACATATGTTTCTTTTCTCATTTTTCTAAATAGCCAAAAAGAGGAGAGGTAGAAAATTTGTAGATATGTATATAAGGAAAGTTGTGGGAACTTGGATGGCCTTAACCTTGGCTCTAAAGCATAAAGTGAGAAAATCTGGTGAGAGAAGGAGTGAGAGAGGGGCTGAGGGTTTGCCAGCTGATGGTGGGTGGATGGAAATCATATTAGTTTATATCCCTACTGTCCTTTATAATTTGTGAATTTCCTCCTGTTTGAGATCCCACATGGAAGGCAGGTAGGATGTTTTAACAGAAGAGGAAACCGAAGCCCATAGAAGTTTAACTTGAAGGTCTCATGATAAATGGTAAAGCCCAGATTAATCTAATCACAGACACATGCCGAATGAGACTTTGTAAGTCATCTACTCCAGCTCCTTCAATTTAGTTAACTGAGGTCCTGAGAGATAAAAGAGCATCAAATAGCATCACACACATGCTTTTTCTCTCATCCTAATTTTCTCTTTTTTCAACACTATTTAGATATGTTGTGCAATGAGGAGTGTATGGGCTTTGTCAAATAAAGCTCAATATTTGAAGCTTGACTGCACCATGTTTTAAGAATATGGGCAAATTACTTAAATTCTAAGTCTTAGTTTCCATATCTATGTAATGGGATAATGTTACCTGAATTATAAAATTGGTTTGAAGATCAAACAAGACATGTAGTAGGCACTCAATAAATGTGCCCTTCCTCTTCTTACGGAAGGCTTAGGAATCCCTTGGACTTAGCAGTTTTTTTCTGTAGTCAGCATAGGTTTATCTTCAGGGAAATATACAGAGGGAACACTTTGGGAAAGGTCTAACTTTAAATGTAAATATAGAGAAGATAGCTTGAGTCTAGAACTCAAGAAGTGCATCTGTATACTCAGGAGAGAAATTGAGCTTCCCACCAAATGTTAAATTCACAGCTTAAAAAAATCTCTAACTGTAACTGAAGGATTCTGTCAAAAGCCTGCTGCTGGTACCTAATTTATGGCCAATTAGAGAAGCACCAGGGCTTCATCCCGTGCAAACAGATGGCGTACATTAGAACTGTCAACAAAAGAAGCTTCTTTCACAAATTTACAAGCAAGGTACCATGTTACATAAGCCAGTGATTATGCTTTATCATTCCAGAGGGAGAGCGAGAGAACATTATTGTAACTAATCATGCACATCAGAAATATTTTTAAAAAATGCTCATTGACAAACTAGAAAATGATAAACAGATATGTGATTTCCTCAAAAAGCGTTCTCTGAGGATTGGTTTCTTGAAGCCTAATTGTCACCTTAATAACTATCTGCAGTGATTTCAAAATTTGTGAAAATTGACTAAAAAAAGTTAGTCTAACAAAACAATCTATTTTCATTAATACATTTCTCAAATATATAAAAAAAAACTAGTATCATTAGCCCCTCTTGGTTTGGAATCCATGAAAAGAAACAAATATAAAACTAAGTACATTATTGTGTTCTCTAATCAGTTATGCAATGTCTACTTCTTCATTAGCCTGAGAAATTGTTGATGAAGCTAGAAGTTCAAGTAAGATAATTTATTTTTTGACATATTGAGACCATTGTTAAAGACAGTAACATAACTACTAGTATATATTAAAAGAGTTACATATTTTTCCTCAGAAAATTAAGACCTAAGTTAGAGTTCTAACACTATCCCTGATTTACTGTGTAACCTCTAAGATGTAGCCATACTGGTCATAGAAATTGGAATTTTTTATACTGATTGGTAAATAGCAGTGGTCGAGGCTCCCTGTGTGTGCCTCCTAGCCCGATGCTGTCCTGGTCATCTGATTCCCCAACCCAGGATTCTCCAGATCTTTTGTTGATTCAACAACTAAATGGTGACATCTGGCAAACACCAGGACCAGCATCCATTCTGATAGGTCACTTCCTGCGCCATACTGATTGTTAATTATTTTGACTGCCACCCTTGGCAACATCAAGCTAAAATGACGTTTTATCACTATTGGTTTTCAAACTTTTGTTTTACTAAGCCCACTGTTTAAATAAACTAAATTAGAAAGAAAACAG